GCGGATGATGGGTTATGTTTATGTTCTATGCATATGCATCAGCGAGCTTTCACGTGGTCTTTTATGGAATGATATCTCGCTCCATCCTGCCTTTCTGGGCTTGCTTCGTGCTTGTGTCCTGTACGCTGTCTAAGTGCTCCTCATTCAGGCGGTTTCCGCCGTCTGCCTTTCATTGCCCACGTCACTTCAGTGCTTTTAGATTCACAAACAACGAATCGACACTCTGGGACAATAGCAGAGAGGTGCACACTGCACTCGCCGGCCATATTACACCCCTGGACTATCACAAAGTGGCGAATTACCACTCAGTCCAGCGCCTTTATCAGTGGTAGTACTAAGTGGGATGCACAGGCACAAGCTCTGCAGCTTCCAGAGAAAAATATGTCTGACCCTTCCTCCTCCCCTCTACCTGGCCAGTTCCCATCTCATTCATAGCAATTGACATTCTTTACTTCAACAAGCACACAAGGGCGATCCTGCTTTCTTGCTGGGATGTCAGCAACATTTTTCTTTCTTTTTCAAGGGGCAAGGGCGTCGTGGTCACACCCATCCTTCAGAACCTACAGGCAACACAAATGGGGCAGAAAAAAAAAAAGGCAACCCTAAATCTGCCAAGCGCCACTGGGGGTACTGACTGGCACAGTTTTAGAGACCCCACAAAATTTGCACATCTCAAAATTCACGCCGCGACCATGACACAGCGCCACTTCGCCTTTTCTTGCCTATTTCAAACAAAAAGTGTCACAGCCACAGTTTCCCCTTTTGGGGGGCAAGTATTTTGAATTACCACGAGCGCGAGCCTGCTTTCTTGCTGGGATGTCAGTATCATGCCCGCGTATTGTCAGCATTTTCAGAAACTTCTGATGGAGAGAGAGACAGAGAGAGACAGACAGAGAGACAGACAGACAGAGAGAGAGAGAGAGAGAGAGAGAGAGAGAGAGAGAGAGAGAGAGAGAGAGAGAGAGAGAGAGAGAGAGAGAGAGAGAGAGAGAGTATGTGTCTCTACTGCGTAGACTATCCCTGATTCCATCACCTGCCACATCCTCGCCGTCCACGTCTCACATGTAACAATGGACTTTTTTCCGCCAGAATGTTTCCATCTTCGCCTGAATAGAACGCCCGGTCATTATCGCTGTCCGGGCGTTCAATTCAGGTGAAGACGGTAGTTGGAAATTCTCCATCCTCACTAGACGAGGAACAGACTCCCTCACAGAGTTCACCTCAGTGCTCAGGCTGAGATGGAGGTGATTCTTTTTTCAGTTTTCTCAATCAAAACAGCCGCGAACCGGGCCCGGCATCCCTTATATTTCAGTGCCAGGAATCGGGCATGGCAACCCTTACATTTGTACTGTGATGATTAGTATGAGGGCATGTATAGACCATGCAAGTTTTTTTTTTTTTTTTTTTTTTTTTGGGGGGGGGACCTATAATGACAGTCTACATCGTACTGACGTAGGGGCTGGAACGGCAGTGCCTATACAATTTGGTGGTCCTCAGTCTTCGTGCCTGCACTCCTAGCATGTGGAAGCCACGTCACCTGTACCCCATCCGTCTGCACCCCAGCATTTGACACACCAACTGCATGCGGAGGAGATTCCACAATCCACACGTGAACCGGTCTTGTCCGAGCTGCAGACGTGGCTACTTATCGTAGGCAAGGCCTTTTTTAAGGCTCATTTCTCTCTGCCACCCAGCCCCCGACTGGCCTTCTGTGCCAGCCTCGACCAGTCTGCTCTGACAGTGAATATTCAGGATCCAATGACGTTGCCCTTCCCCCTGCTCTTCTCCTCCCCGCACTCCTCTCCCTCCCCCCGCCTTCCAACTCATCCTCGTGAAGAGAGCTACCAAACGCATACGCATGAGCATCACAAAGAGAACAAACAATCCGGTCCGGAACAGAACTGGTGTGTACACATCCAAGGCAAGTACACAGAGCTGGTGGGGTTGCACCATTCACAACAAAACAACTGACTCCGCTGTTTCATGAAAGATTCCAGTCACTTCGAAGTATACCATATAACATGGCTGTCTCGATTTTGGTCCCCTCGTCTGGGTGGGAAGAGGACTCTTGTAACAGCCCCACCCCTTCCCGCCGTTCCCCCACTGACGGATGCGCGCCCAGCTCTCTCTCTCTCTCTCTCTCTCTCTCTCTCTCTCTCTGACACACACACAGACAAACAAAGATTTCGATCTCTCTTTTTTGGCTTCCATGTCTCTCTTGCTGTTTCCTTGTATGATTATTTGTTTTTTGGAAGAAAAAAAATTGTACGAGTCTAAGCGAGCACCTGTGAGCAGTTCCAAAAAGTCAGTCGTTCCTTACATGGAGTGCCTGCATCACTATTCGGCAACAAGCTTGGTTCGGATGTCTGTGAGGTGCGTAAGGTCTATGGTTAATGACAGGCGACCGTCTGTGTGAACGCCTGCTGGCTCAGCAGGTGTTGGGAACCAGCAGTCTGCAGGGGGTCACTTGTGGTGTGAGTAGGTGGTGAGAATTGGTTTGGTTTAGGGTTCAACAATGTCTGGACTGCCTTGTGTGCGTGCGCTCCGCCGCGGCCTTGCTGCCCATTCCACTTCCCATGTTTGTCCTCTGCAGCTGGCGTGCTTGCCGTGTAGAGCAACTGATGCGTCGGTATTGCCTTCTGCTTCTCCACACTGTCGCCCTGCTGACCACGTAGTTCGGCCGCTTTGTTGTTGTTGTTGCCATGTGCTTCACTGCGCTGCTGACGTCCTTCCTTTCTGCTTGCATCATCTTTACAGGCAGACTGACTGTGGTGTGTGGTGTGGCTTTGGTTGCTTTGTTACGCTGCATTGTACTTCACTGCGCTGTTGCCCAACTGCTGCCCATGTTCATACCTCGGTCGCTTGTGCTGCATGGTGCTTCACTGTGCTGTCTTCCCACGGCAATCTCCCCCCAGCAAACCTGTTTACCTTGTACTTTGCATGGGTTGCTTTGTTAACACTGCATTGAACTTCACTACGTAGTTTGCATTCTCCGTTATGCCCCGCTGCATTGTCTTGTTTGCTTTTTTTGGTTTTTTTTCTGGGACCATTTTTCTGCGTGTCATCGTTGCACAGAGGTCATGCTAATCTTCTCTGTATCGTTCCAGTTTTAACTGATCTCCCGAAGGAGCTGCATTGCGTAAAAAAGGACGGGTGGGGAAGGGAAGCTTCACTGCACTGTTGCTTTGCTGCTTGTGCTCAATAAGGGGATTCCAGAGAGATTGGGCATCGCCACACGGCTCTCGAATGGTGGAAAATGAGAATGAACTTTCCGCTAGAACACGTCCAGATGCACCCGCCAATCTTTTGGCTTGCTGACATTTCGATAGTGTTGAGGCGAGGCCCATTGTCAAGGGTTCAGGCTCCTGATGAGTGGGTTTGCGTCCGTCGAAACGATCTGTTACGATCAGTGTTTTCTTTTCTGTTTTTTTTTTTTCTTTTTTTCGCTTTTTGTGTTTTCAACTATTGTCATTTCTTGAGCTTTTCTTGTTTACAGGTTCTTGTCTGCCTTGTCTTCTTCATGGGAACTGTTGCCCTCCGGCCTCTGAGAGTGTTGCCTCCCTACTTTTGCCTTGCTGCTTTAGGGCCTCGCCACACCACTCTTGAAAAGTCATTTTCAAGAGTTGCTGCATGGCCACACAGCCTCTTGACACTTGGGGCAGTCGAGAGCTGTCAGAGTGGAAGCCTCCTGAAGAACCCCCCTTTCTTTCTAGAGTGTCTCTTGAAAGATTGGAAACCCAAGCCTGCCTGCAACTGGTGCGTTTTCAAGTGTGTCCTTGGCCGAGCCCTTGAGGGACTATCGATTTTCAAGAGTTGTCAGGCCGTTATCCTGACGCCATGCAAAAAAAAACAAAGCTATACGACTGTCGTTTTTCATCCTGTGTCCAACAGGTATCGCCCTTTCGAGAGTGCTGTGTGGCGAGGGGGCGAAAACTCTTGAAAACACAACTCTTGAGAACTTCTGACAGCTCTTGACAAATCTCGCCGTTGCAAGAGTGGTGTGGCGAGGCCTTTATGCCTTAGCGGTTTCTTGTCTTCTGTGTATTGTATCTGCCCATTCTGCCGCTCTTCCCCTTCACAGCCCTTGTTTCCTTATGTTTTCTCTGCCCTCCCACCTTCCCGTTGCCCTCCCGCCTGAGTGTTGCCCCCTTGTTTTCGCCTTGCTATTTTTTGCCTCGCTATTTCTTGCCTGGCTGTTTCCCATCTTCTCCCACCGGACGGCCTTTTCTTCCTTCACCGCCTTGGACTTCTTGGGTGCTCACTTGCCTCCCCCATGCCCTCCACCCTGCGTGCCTTGTTGTCGCTTTTTCTCCATTGCCTGGCATCCTGCTGGCCATAGAGTAAGGGAGCATGGTCCTGACCCGAGCCATAGCATCCAGTACTATGTCATCAAGTTTCTTCCATCACTACTCCCCGCGATTGAGTCCAGATCCATGCATTACCTATTGTTTGCACACTGCACAGTACTATAACAGCTCCCTGTGGGTTTTTTTTACCACTTAAAGCTACGGGTTGCACAAAAATCACCCCTGCAAACCCACTCTCTCTCTCTCTCTCTCTCTCTCTCTCCCACACACACACACACACACACACACACACACACAAACACAGACACACTCTCTCTCTCTCTCACACACACACACTCTCTCTCTCTCTCTCTCTCTCTCTCTCTCTCTCTCTCTCTCTCTCTCTCTCTCTCNCTCTCTCTCTCTCTCTCTCTCTCTCTCTCTCTCTCTCTCTCTCTCTCTCTCTCTCACACACACACACACACACACACACACACACACACACACACACACACATGCCCGGATAGTTCCTTACTGCAAGAAACAGAACCAAAGGGGATTTGTTTTTTCTGGACTGCCAAACACAATTGAACAATCACAGCAAACGAACCATCTCACAAAAACACAGACAGTAGACGTCCTCCAAAGGTTCTTCGAGGCGTCAAAACTTAAAGACGTCCATCAATTCAGCCAAGCGAAACTACAGCAAACGAAAAATCACATTGCATTTGATTCCATTTCTCTCCCCCTTTACCCAGTAGGCACAAGATGTCCATCAATTCAGCCAAGCGAAACTTCAACCGACTGCACAAACCACCCATTAAATTTCCTCAACCTTGCTTAAGTGACTGCCTTGGCGTCAAAACACCTTGTGGACACAATGACAAGCAAACGGTTTCAGTTCGGAATCCCCATTCAACAGACTGCATCACCCAATCATGACACTGAAATGAATAACCAGTTCCGCTCCTGAATCATTCTTGTGCTTTTTTTGCTTTGTGATTCGCCGAGATTTTCGAAAGGCGGCTGTCTGGCAAAAGAGACGAAAGCCATTGCGAACATCAAACACCCTATTCGATAAGAGAGCAGTGGACAAACAGACATGACGCTAGGAATGGCATGCATCCTCAGTAGACAATGGCCAGCTGCGCAAAAAGAGCAAGCGAGCGAGCGAGCAACAGAGAAAGTAGTCCACAAGGAGAAAAACACAGACAAGACACACCCTGCAGTGGAGGCGATTATTCAACGCTCACTCACCCGAATCACTTCCACGAATACGGGAGCAATAATCACGATGGTCCACAAGAAATCATCGCATAGAAACAGGCCGGGTTTTAATATGCAACGCCAGATAAGCAATGGATTCAATTTATTGGGCCCTCAGCTGAAGGAGAGCCACCCCCCTTCTTGACTGAAATTGACATTTTGATCAAACAGAGAGGAGGTGGACATCCAAGGAGGAAGAACGCTGGCTGCATCCGCTCTTGATATGATTGTACACCCACCACTGGCCAGATCGAAGCGAGGACAGAGCCGTCCAGATGCCAGCATGTAGATGCATCTGGAGAAGAAAGAGCAAACTTATCGACGATTCCACAATGCGCTGCATGCAGGGTCTAAGGCTCAACGATGAGAGTGTGAGATTATGCAGTCTATCAGGGCAGACAAGTTCTGTTCAGTACTACATCATGCATCATCTCCACACATCAGGGAGGAAAAGCCGCCTTCTGCCCCCTATTCAGGGGTGGAAGACCCGGGGGGGGGGGGGGGGGGGGGGGGGGGGGGGGGGGGGGGCGCGGGGGTTGCCGCAGGAGCAAGGGGTCTAGTTTGCCTATCTACAGTGCTGTGTGCTTGTCTGCTTATCATTGGAACTTTGCAATGCGTTCTCCACAAGCGGATCTTCACACGGACGGACAAATGGACACAAGGTGGGGCGCCGCTCTACTATTCTCGTTATTTCAACCCCCACAATGATGGCGACAGCTACAGATGCACCAAGTTAACCTCTCGAAGAGGAAACGAGCGCATCTTTCAGGGACGACAGAATGAAAATACAAGCGCAAAAACGCATAAACAAGCTTCTCTGGGACTCGCTCTACTACAAAACATACAAAACATACAAAACGTACATGAAGCTGTTAGAGGTCCGATAGACTCAACTGTTTGATCAGTTGGTAAAGCGGAGCGAGAATCCGTGAAACGTGAAGTAGAACATTTCCCGGACCGTCGGAAGGAAGCCGTCGGGGGAGTCTGATAAAGGTCCGTTTTTTTCAAATACCCAAGCATCGGCGAAAAACAACACAAAATTTAAATGTCAAACCCATGGTACACAGCCACAGATCCAGTAACCACAGGTCCAATCACTAGGGGTTCAGCAAATGGTCTAATCCACCGTCCAACAAGGTTTTAATAATCAGAGTCAATCCTGCAAAACGGTTCAGCAAATGGTCTAATCTCCACCGTCCAACAAGGTTCAACATGACTCGCTGCAGAAACGGATCTACGATGTGGAGAATCCGTGGCAGAGCAAAAATAAAAGAATGCTTACATAACTGAAAAGCAACTGAGCTGATTCAAGCAACAAGTGAAAATAAATACAGGAGAAAAGAAAAGAAAAGAAAAGAAAGAAAGAAGAAACACAAGTGAATAAGAACAAGGGATGCGGCCAAATAGGAGAACAGAGGCAGGACAGCAAGTAAACGCACAGTCACATGACACGCAGAATTTTCATCCCACATCAGCAGCACTGCTACAAGGTACTAGTCCCTCCAGATAGCTGACGGACCACCCACGCACTCCCAACGACCCGTGATCCTTTTCCACTGAAGACAGAAGTCTTCCCAAAACGACATACGCAAGGAGGAGATATCACAGTGCTCAGGGTGCAAACGACGTGCTCAGGGTGCAAAACGACATACGGAAGGGAAACAGCGTAAGGATGATAATCGGATCTGCTCGGATGAAGTAATAAACAAATGGCAAAACAAACGAGCCACAAAAGTTAATGCTGGCGACCTGATGTTATTATTGCCCGCACACAGAGCGTGGATTGGAGCAAAACTGGCCAAGAAACACACATCATCATCGATCGAGATCAAGCAATCGAGATTGACTGGTTATTTTCTCAGTGGCGATCGGGATGAGCATCATCATCTACACGTTCCATTCTCCTTACCTTCAGCGAGAAGGCGGGTATCATTGCGCGCCGACGGAAGCATGCGGCAGAAAACCAACGAATGGCCATTCTCGGATCTATCCACTGAACCGAAGCTACCTGAAAGCACAACAGCAACACTCGCCCTCAGTTCAGTATCAGTCGAGAAGTAGAGCGGCGAAGGTGGCATCGGTTAAGACTTCAAAGCTTTATATAAAGAGTTGAAAACACAAACGGCAATCATTGCGTCAGACCTGACTGATCCATCGAAGGAGAAATCCCACAGTCAGTGTTGTGGACAAGGCGTTATCTTGGTTCTCACCTTCAGACAGGATGTGGGGGAGGAGACGAAGAGCTAGCCAAGGAGTCCGTGACGTCTTGACTAAGCAACACGCTGGCAATAACATGGGCGACAGCTTTGTTCGGAGAGTCGACTAGGAAGTCAGCCTCCGTGACAGAGGTGCTGCCGTCGACCTTGATAACGTCACCAACCGAAGAGAAAGATACGTAACTGCCCCCCTGAGTAGGGACGGAGACTGTGCCAGAAGTGCTTTTGGCGATGGCGGCCAGCAGGTCCGCCTTCGGATAGAAACCGTCAGCGAAATGGTACCCAAGGAACTCGTAAAGGAGGGCCTCATCGGCCTTAATCGTGTCCAGCTGGCCAGGACCCAGACGTGCGAAAGCGGCATTCTCAGGCACGCTGATGGTGAGAGGTTGCAGAGGAAGGTTTGCCGCGAAGCCTTTGTCAAGAAGACCAACGAAGATAGAAAACCTAGGGTCCGCTCGCAGAGCTGCGATCACGCCGGTGGCGTTACCTGAAGCTGCTGCAGGCTCAAGGCCGGCAGTCGCAAAACCGGACGGAAGCACAGGAGGTTCAACGGAAGGAGGAGTGGGCGGAACAACCGAAGCAGGTGGTGGAGGCGGAGGAGGAGGAGGAGGTGAACCACTACTGATAGGTAGAGGGGTTGTGGCCGCGTCTTCCCTGCCATCAGGAGTCGGAGGAAGAGGGGATGGCAGTCTGACCCACGAGTTCCCATCGATCCATTGCCTATCTCCTCCTAAGAATGGCCCAACTTCTTCGAGAGTTAATGCCCGCGACCAACTAACTCTGCCGGACCGATCTGAGCCCGGACCCGAACAGTTGTACTCCCCGTAATCTGCCGTCTTCTCCCTGGTGGGGTCGTTGAAGTTATTCCAGCCTGCCGGCTGGATAAACGCCTCCATTTGCGTCTCAACGAACCAGGTCAGCGACGCAGCTCCCCACGCTCGACCGAGATAGGCCTTGCCGCTTACGCCAGTGATTATTCCTCTCAAGAAGAGGAAGCCGCTTGTACGAGCGCCTGGCAGCTGCCGTTTCTCCGCAGAGATGGTGAAAGGATCGGCCAAGGTGTGAATGTGGCAATCCTCATACTGAGCGGTCGCATAGCCAAAGATGAAATCGATGGTCCCCTCGATATAGCAATTCTTGTACAACTGCACTCCCTTATGAGCGTACAGAGTGTCCTGGAATCCGCGGAAGATGCAGTTCGCAAAGATGATAAACCAGCCCGAAGCGCGCATCGCAACAGCTTGGTTGCCAATCTCCCCAGGCTTACCACGCGGGAAGTCGTTGATAAATGAAATGCCTTGGACAATGATGTGGTAGCCACCAAAAGTCGCTGTGGCAGATTGGAAGGTCCCAATATCATCACCATCAGCACCCATCTTGCCAGCATGGCGATTGTCGACAATGACAACTCGGGATGGATCCTCAGGATTACCAATCATCGTAACGTTCCTGCGCAGAATCCGCAGATGCAAAAGCACAAACACACAACAAGGAGCATCAGCAGAAGAAGCAGAAGCATAAACAAAATAACGACCAATCCACATCCACAAGCACAAGAACACAACAAGGAGCATAAGCAGAAGAAGCAGATGCAAAAGCACAAACACATGGGACCGTTCCCGCACAGATCCAAAAGCAGAAACCCACAACAAGAAGCATAAATAACGACACGAAGGGAGAGGGCATGCCTATCCATGTATAAATAACTAGATAATAATTTTATTACATAGATACGGTCAAGTCCACGACATAGCAGCTCAGTTAGCAACAAAATGCATCTCAAGGCAGCAACAGCACAAGCGATAATGCATCAAGCATTGCCTGTTGCTTCTTGGTGTGCCAGAAGAACGGTAAAGGCTAGTCCGGAATGCAGACTTTGTCAGGGAACACGAACGGAGAACATCCATCACCTTCTATTACTTCATGAAATATCTAGACCGTTCCGGGAGCGGTGGAGACAGTCCAACATCCCTGTCCCAGCGGCAGCTACGCGCTGGGACGATCAGTTTGCGCCGATGGGGGCGGCTTCCAGAAGACAACCCTCCTCCCCTTATCATTTGGCCGATGCAAAAGAACCTATTCCAGCTGCCATTGTATGGACGATATGGAATCTTCGGCATGCTGCTGTGAGAGGGGGAGAACATTTTTTACACCCCCTTCAATGGTGAGGGCAGAAATCAGTACGCTATAACACAAACTGCCTTGGCAGACTGGGAGTACAGAGTGCAAACAAACTTAAAAAAAGGGTTGTATAGCCAAAGCCCTGAAATGGTTTGTTGCAGATGAGCTTTCCCGAACCTTTTCACACGGGGGAGCTTTCCCGAAACTTTCACACTGGATTCGGCAGTGGGACAATCTCCAAGGTTGCTTTTTTCTGCTTTTTTGGGGTGAAGTTTTAGAGTTGCCGTACGCCATCCACGGCATTTCCCGATATCTTTCCTGGCTTCCTGGCGGGCGAGTGTCGTCTTTTTTTTTCCCCTTTTTGTATTTCATGCGGGCCCACAAGGCCCTTCTTGCCGAGCCTCCGCCGAACCCAACAATTTCGGGACTGAGCAAAATGCTTTTGCTTTCTTCCACCCATCAAATGATCGAATGGCAGATGTTCGAGCCCAAAATATTCCACCACCCTTCCGACCAACAGTATACAGCCACGTGGCTGAGTGGTACACACCTGTAACTGTTTATGAACAGATCATGAGTTCGAACCCCGATAGAATTGGTTCATGAAAAGAAGGGACCTTAATGTGAGTACGCCCATGGAAATCCCATCCTTCTCTCGCCAGATTCAGAGCAAACTTCAGGCAATATAGCAAACCAGCCTGGAACGTCACATCAAAAGGGGGCAGAGTTCTCAGCCGCAGTGAGAGAAGGGCATTATTGGGTATGGTCTTCCTCCTTTTCCTGGACAACACTTAGGCCGACTTTCCTCTCTGTTGAACTTGTAGGTCTCCATTCCTACTACAAAAGACAGATCAAGTTTTCGAGGCAACATCAGACGAGTTCTACAGAGTCCACAGGGAATGGCTGGACTTGTACCATCACCAGATGGAATGGAGCCTGGCCGCATTCATACCTGACACTACCGTGTTTTACCAATACAATGTACATACGGTAATTTGGGGCAACTTTCAGTCCAAATACGGCGACAATGACCGTACGCACCGTACCTTCTATTCAAGGGAAGACCGTAGTAATAAAAATCGCACACAGTCTTAGCACTCCTGATATCCTAGAGCCTACAACAAAATCAACTACGTACTGCGGATGCTTTTCACAGCGATTAGTCCCACAGCCGTTGGGGCGTCCTTCCACTAAAAGCGCTTCTTCAGGTGTTTTCTTTTCTTTTTTCTTTTTTTTCCCCAGTCTTTCCAGCATCATTCACCACCTGCTTAAACCACCAGTACTTGGCCCAGCTATCGGCCGCGGGCTTTTGCCCGTTAATGCGCCGCAGCCTCAGGAAGTCGGCCCATAGCAGCGCGCCCCAGGAGGTCGGCCGATAGCTGCGCCCGGTAGTCCAGCAAGGGCAGGGCTCAGCCACTTTCGGGATGACACTCCCAACAGCAAAAAA